CACCGTCTGTCAGGGAGAATCAACCTCGCCTCTGCGGGACCCAGGTGTGCCGCCTGGGACCCGGCCGCTGTGCTAACCCTTCCTGTCTGCTGCCATTTCTCCACCCTGTCCCACGGAGTCCTGAACCCCTCTCCGGTCAGCTGCTCGCTCCCTGCCCCCAGGGGCCCCCCCATGCTGCAGAGGTCCCACACTCCCGAGCTTTCTTGGTGCAGGCCTGGTGGTTCCCTGATTGAAGCACGTGGACTCAGACACAGCACACACTCACACATGCTCCCCTTGCCCGTGCCTGGCTCCTGGCTCCAAGGCTCCAAGGCCTGGGGAACAGAGCCCCATTGAAACACCCTGACGTCACCCTCCCTTCTTCCTTCTCCCCCCAAAGCTGGGAACAGGCCCTCATGTATGCCGTGTCCGATGAGGAAAGCCAGTGTAGGGGTGGGGTGGGCCTGGTAGTAGGGTGCGTCCCTGCCAGAGTGGGAGCCAGGGTCCTGGCCGCCGAGGGGGCTTGTCCAGGGAGGGGGCTTCACCACGGGGCCTGGGACAGCCCCTGGTATGCAGCCTTTGAGGCCTTTCCAGAGCCCCCCACCTCCTTTCCGAGTTCCTTTGTGTTGCATGTAGTCTCTCTCCTTCTCTTCTGCAAAGTTTATTTTTAGCCTCCTGCTCCCCCGCTCCCAGGACTGTCGCTGCACATACGTTGCCTGGTTACCGGGACAAGGAGGCTGGGGTGGGTGGGTTGGGAAGGGTGGCTTTAATTTGGGGGGTAGGGTGGAAGTCAGCACACCCCTCCACCCTAGATTGTCTCAGGGGCTTCACCCCCACCCTGTCTTTCTGGCTCTGAGTGCCAGATTGGAGTTTCGGTGGGAGCTACATGTCGCTTGGTGTCCTGGTGGGGCCAGGAGCTTTTTGGAGGGGATGGGAGAGTTTGTGGAGCTCTGGTTTGGTCACTTGGGTTCCCAAGGGTTTCCGGGGCCTAGGTTCTCGAGCAGGATGGGGATGATGGGGTGAACACTTGGATTCCTGAGAGAAGGATAGGGCTATGGATGCTGGGGTCCCTGGAAGGCGTTGTCAGGGGCTGTCACTTCTGAATTAAGCAGTGGCTGCTAATGTCTGCTGTAGGTCATATCCCTAGTTTGAGGCTGGGATTTCTGAATGGGGCAGGGACTCAGTGGAGAATGCTGGCCAGGGGTGGGAGCTGGGCCTCCTGGGGGAGAGAGTCTGCTCTGGATTTAGAGGGGGCGGTCCCTGTGGGAGCAGGAACTGTTGATCCCCTGTGTCCCCAAGAGGAAGAATCCCCTGTTGGATTCCAGGCTAGGGTGGAGTCTCAGCCTTGCCCCAGGCTTGGTTGGTACCTGCTTGAGCTGGGGCTTGAACCAGGGCCAGCCTGGAGAGAGGCTGACCCACACAGCCTGACTGGGATTTGGGACCCCGCCCATTTTTAGCTGTCTATCCTGGCCTTCTCCCTCTAGTGGCATCAGGGCCCCTGCCCTGCCTCCTCCCCTCCTTCCCTCCTCCCACCCCTCCATTACCGGCTGCCTAGTGCTGAATTATTGATGGTCCCTGATTACCCGGGGGTTTGGGAAATGACAACAACCGCAGCCCCCCCACCTCCTCCCCCCCAGGCTGCCCACCCCCTCTAGGGACCAGCCAGCCCACCACCAACCTCTATCCAAGGTTAATGCTGGGGGCGGGTAGGCAGGTGGGCAGGGAAATAGCTGAGGATGAGAAGGCAGAAGGGGAAATAGGCTCCAGCCTATTCACTCTTGAGGCCTGGGCTGGGGCCCTCCAGCCAGGTTGGGCCCATGTGCCTGGGTCTGGGGAGGGCAGTGCAGCACAGAGGGTCCAGGCTTGGGGGGCCTCTCTCAGACAGTCTGGGTTTCACTCTCCAGGGAAGACAGAAGCCTCTGTGTGTGCGAGCGCTGACCTCATCGTCAACCAGCCACCCCACCCCTCCTGGTCCTTTTAAGAAAAAAAAAAAAGCCTCTCGGGTCTTGGGGTGGGAGTAAAGGCTCTGGTAGGTCTTGGGAGGGGGACAGTGTATGTTCCTAGGAACGGAACCAGCAGAGCTTGCAGGGGTGGGGGTCGGTATGACTGGCTCTGAATGGGAATGGGGATCCTGGGGGGCCTTGCCCCAACCATCTGGCCACATGTGCCCCTTCCTGCCCTTCCCCCACTGGCAGCCCTGCCCGCCGGCCTGGCTTGGTGCCTGGCCCCCTGGCACTGGCCCCGGGACCCGCCGCCACCCGCCGCCGACGGTTTCCTGTTTCTCCCGGTGTTGCTGGAGCAGGCTCCAGCTCCCCCCCTCCCCATCTAGCCCCCTCACACACAGACAGACACACACTGTCTCTCTTGCCTACCCAGGTCTTGTCTTGGCTTAGGGGAGATGGATTTCCCCATGTTGAGGGTGGGGTAGGAGGTAGGCCCTGGGGGGGTGGGGGGGACCTGGAGGCCTGGACTTGGCACCCTAACCTGGAGCCACTTCCCTGCCTGCTGTCCCCAGGGTTTGCCTTCCCGGATTGGGCCTACAAGCCGGAGTCGTCGCCTGGCTCGAGGCAGATCCAGCTGTGGCACTTCATCCTGGAGCTGCTGCGGAAGGAGGAGTACCAGGGTGTCATCGCCTGGCAGGGGGACTACGGGGAATTCGTCATCAAGGACCCCGACGAGGTGGCCCGGCTCTGGGGTGTCCGCAAGTGCAAGCCCCAGATGAATTATGACAAGCTGAGCCGGGCTCTGCGGTGAGGAGGGCACAGCCCCTGGGCAGATAGGACAGTTCCCCGCCAAATGGGGAGCCCCTGACCTCTGGGAATAAACTTCGGGCTTGACTCCTGGCTCTTGCAAGTCATGGCCATTGACCTTAGGCAAGTCCTAACCCTTCTCTGAACCCGTTTGCCAAACAGAGGTATCCTGAGGAGCGAATCTAGTCATGGGTGTGGCCTGAGGGGAGAGCTGGTCCATACCCTTTGTGGCCTAGGTGTCTCCGTCTCCCTTCATGCGCAGCACCTGAGGCATGTCATGGTATGGGGGTCCGGATTTGGGTCCCCGTGACTAACCTGATGGTGTCTCTGCATCCACAGCTATTATTATAACAAACGCATTCTGCACAAAACTAAGGGGAAACGGTTCACCTACAAATTCAACTTCAACAAACTGGTGCTCGTTAATTACCCTTTCATTGATGTGGGGCTGGCTGGTGAGTACCAGGGCTGGCAGGAATGGCCTCTGAGGGGAGAGAGGGTCTGTATGTCCAGGCTAGGCCAGTGGCCTTGACACCATGTCTTCTTTCCTGCCAGGGGGTGCGGTGCCCCAGAGTGCCCCTCCAGTGCCATCAGGCGGCAGCCACTTCCGATTCCCTCCTTCAACACCCTCTGAGGTGCTGTCCCCCACTGAGGACCCCCGCTCACCACCAGCCTGCTCTTCGTCCTCATCCTCCCTCTTCTCGGCTGTGGTGGCCCGACGCCTGGGCAGAGGCTCAGTCAGTGACTGTAGCGATGGCACTTCAGAGCTGGAGGAGCCACTGGGAGAGGACCCCCGGGCCCGACCACCAGGCCCTCCGGAGTTGGGTGCCTTCCGCGGGCCCCCACTGGCCCGCCTGCCCCATGACCCTGGCGTCTTCCGTGTTTACCCCCGGCCCCGAGGTGGCCCTGAGCCCCTGAGCCCCTTCCCCGTGTCCCCTCTGGCTGGGCCTGGCTCCCTGTTACCACCTCAGCTCTCACCAGCTCTGCCCATGACGCCCACCCACCTGGCCTACACGCCCTCGCCCACGCTGAGCCCTATGTATCCCGGTGGCGGCGGGGGCCCCAGTGGCTCAGGGGGAGGCTCCCACTTCTCCTTCAGCCCTGAGGACATGAAACGGTACCTGCAGGCCCACACCCAAAGCGTCTACAACTACCACCTCAGCCCCCGCGCCTTCCTGCACTACCCTGGGCTGGTGGTACCCCAGCCCCAGCGCCCTGACAAGTGCCCGCTGCCACCCATGGCACCTGAGACCCCACCGGTCCCCTCATCAGCCTCGTCCTCCTCCCCATTCAAGTTTAAGCTCCAACCACCCCCACTCGGACGCCGGCAGCGGGCAGCTGGCGAGAAGGCTCCAGCGGGCGCTGACAAGAGCAGTGGCATTGGCAGTGGTGGCAGCACAGGTGGGCTGGCTGAGGGGGTGGGGGCACTGGCCCCACCACCACCACCACCACCACCACAGATCAAGGTGGAGCCTATCTCAGAAGGCGAGTCGGAGGAGGTGGAGGTGACTGACATAAGTGACGAGGATGAGGAAGATGGAGAGGTGTTCAAGACACCTCGTGTCCCCCCTGTGCCCCCCAAGCCTGAGCCAGGCGAGGCACCTGGGGCCACGCAGTGCATGCCCCTAAAGCTGCGCTTTAAACGTCGCTGGAGTGAAGACTGTCGCCTGGAGGGGGGTGGGGGCTCCACTGGGGGCCTCGAGGATGAGGGTGAGGACAAGAAGGTGCGAGGGGAGGCTGGGGGTCCCCTCACCCCGAGGCGGGTGAGCTCTGACCTCCAGCACGCCACAGCCCAGCTCTCTCTGGAGCACCGAGATTCCTGAGGGCCATGGGCAGGGGAATGTTCCCCCACCCCCCATGCTTCTTTTGCTGCCTTAACTCCCCTGTGTCCTGGAGGTGAGGGCAGCTCTAATTTCTTCCCTGCCTCCTCCCTTTCCTCTCCCCATGTTTTGTATAAAAGTTAAAAAAAATTTTTTTTTTTAAATTGTGAGGGTGGGTGGGTGTCCAGGGCTGGGGGCTATCCAGTCTCTGGATTTCTAAGCTCTGGGCAAAGTGGTGGTGAGGGGTGGGGGGAGGGAGTTAAGGGGGCCACCTCCATTCTGGGGAATTTATATTTGAACTGAGGCTCTGGCCTCGATGCCCAGGAACTTTTTTATTACAATCGCTTAGGAAGTAAAGCCTTGTCTCCCTCCCCGTTCTGTGCCTCCTGTACCTCTCCCTGTCCACCTCCAGCCATCCTTAGCCCCAGTTCAGCCTTCCCTGCCCCTCCAGGGGCCATGAGTGCCTGGGTTTCTAACCCCACAGGTTACAACGGGAGAGTTGGACATTTTATGATGAACCAAAAATTCTGTGTGTGAGGGGGTAGGGGGGAGAGGAGGGTGAGGGGTGCCACCCATAGGCCACAAATCTCTACAAGTGCCTCTTCTACTCCCCACCCCAGCACTGGTCCAACCCCTTCACCCCCAGCTGCTCCTAGGACCAGCCCATAGGCAGGTGGGTGGGGGGTGGGAAAGGTGAACCCTGAAACCAAACTGGAAGCCCCCTCTGCCTCCCAGCTGGGGCCCCTTGGGGTGAGGGTCTGTGGTCAAGCCTTATTCTGTTTTGGGGGTGGAGGGTGGGAGGGGAGGGAAGTTGAGGGCTGTTGGAGAATGTATTCAAACAATAAAACTTTGGGCCTTTGGATGGAGTGACCTGTCTCACTGCAGGGCCATAGCCCGTGCTAGATTCTGAAGGACAGGGACCTTGACTGGCTCCCCAGTGGATCGATGGCCAGAGTAGAGTGAGTGCCTCATCTCATCGGAATGGATCAAATTCAGGGCCTGGGAAATGATCTGACCTTGAGGGGTACATAACCCCCCAGGGCCTGATGATTAAGGTCTCAGGCACACTGTCATCTGATTGCTCCCCTATTCCATGGGGACCACTTGTCCTTAGGAGCATTTAGACTCTTCACCTATTGCCTGAAATGCCTTTCCTCTCTGGGTATGAATTGCTATCCATGTCCCTGGGCTCTGGTGAAGGCCTGGACCTCCCTTTGCACTATATTCTAGCGTCCTCCCACCGATCACTTTCCTTAGGGCATTTCTGAGTTAGTCTGGAGTCCTTTGGGGACAGGTCTACAGTCTCAAAATGTAGACCTTGCAAGGGATCTTAGTGATCTTCCCATGGAACCATGGGACACCCTCTGCCAATAAGGTGAGATGGGACTAACAAGCAGAGTTGCTACTGATTGACCTGTACCAAGTATCTGGTACTTAAATAGGAGCTGCAATGCTTTATCTCCAACATCCAGCAAGGTAGAAGTGATTTAATGACTTGCTCAAGACCCCAAGCCCACGCCCTACCCGGTTTGGCTCAGTGGATACAGCGTCAGCCTGTGGACTGAGGGGTCCCAAGTTTGATTCCTGCCAGGGGCACATGTTGGGGTTGCGGGCTCAATCCCCAGTATGGGGCATGCAGGAGGCAGCTGATCAGTGATTCTCATTGATGTTTCTATCTCTGTCTCGCCCTCTCCCTTCCTCTCTGAGGTCAATAAAAATATATTTAAAAAAAAAAAAAAGACCCTAAGCCCAGCCACAACTTTCAATGAGGTCTGTATAAGAAGTGTTTTTTCACCTCCTGAGTTTCCTTCTAAGATCAGGATGGTTGGATCCAGACCATGGTCTCAAGATCATAGGATCTGAGAGGTGAGTTCATCAAGCTAGAGGCCTAGCTCGGACAGCTCTCGTCAAGGATGGGAGAATCTGGGAAGCATCCAGGCTGCAAGTGCTCTTTGAGAGCCCAACTCCTTACGTGCTGGTGAGGTGCCCGAGGCCCAGTGTTCCCAAAGCCACACAGCTGCTAAGAGACAGCATGAGAATGGAGGGCTCAGGGCCTGTTGGAATGGCTTCACTGGAACCCCACCCTGTGCAACTCCTACCCACTTTCTCTTCATCCTCTTTTCATGCCAGCCTAGAGTGGGGTAGTCCCAGATGATGTCTGGAGCTTGGCAATGAAGAGAGGATCCAGGGATGGGGTATTGGCAGGAAACCGAGGCTCCAGTGGCAGCCTGTGGGCAACTGCTCCCTCTCCTGGGTGATGTAAGTCATTCCCATGGGTGGGGGGGACACTGGGCTATTTCTGGAAGTTGGGATGAGGCATGTCTCCTGGCAACACAGATGCAGCCGATTTGGTGGTGGTGGTGTGAGGGAGAAAGGGGGATATCATCACTTGGGGGAGGTGGGAGGACCCTGCCTATAGTCTTAGCTTCTGATTCCAGTGCCTTCAAAGCATCTCTAACAATTCTAACATGGATTCATAAGCTTTCACTTCCAGAATTGCTCTCCAGGTCAGACCAGACCCAAACAGACTCGTTCCCCCCAATTTGGGCTGACCAGGATGTCACAGGTGGCATCTGGTCTTGAAAACTCCAGTGGACCCTCTAATCTTTAGTGACCCACCTATATCTATTTAGTTTCTGCAAGACCATTCCCTTGCTCCCTTCCACATCCTCCAGGATCTCTGGTTCCAAGTAGAAAGCCCTTTATAGATTTCATGACACTTCATCAATTAATTCATCCCATCAGAGGTTCCCTTCATACCTGTAACCCCCACAAACCCTCAACGCTCCTTCCTGATGCTTCTCATCCACCCCTTATCCCTTCAGGTCCCCCAGTTAGCAGTAGTTTCTCAGTCTCCCACAGTTTAAGAACACCCCAAGTTCCCTCTGACTTCTCCACTGGTCCCCAATAAGATCCCTTCACTTGTTCTCGCACTGCCCTGGGTACCTCCAGAAATCCATAGGCCCCTCAGACACTTACAACCCGCCCTGGCACCGCTCAACAAACGTTCTCGGTCACACAAACACCCCGGTTAAGATTCCCTGTCTCCCATGTATCCCAGTGCCCTCGTGGCGGTTGCCTATGCGCTGCCCACTGCGCATGTCCCACGGGTTCTGGCCGTTAAGTAACCGCCACTCTCCCGCCCGACCCCGCAGCCCTTCTGAGCCTTCGTGGTCCAGTGTAGGATTATTTCCCAGGCTTTGGGACTTGACTCAGATTTTTGCTTTTCGACCCAGAGCTGCCGTCAGAGGGCAGCAGGCATTGTTTGGCTGACAAACTACAACTCCCGAAAACACCTGCTCTGGGTTGTGCGTGATTCTGCCGTTTTCCTTGAGAAGGGAGCGGCCGCGGGTCCGCGCTTTGCCTTTTGGTTAATGTAGTCCGAAAAGGCTTGAATGCGACCGTTCCGTCCTGGGGGTCTACACCCATTGGGAATTGCAGTCAGGAACAGAGACTTTATTCAGACTTCAGAAAGGGCAGGGCAGTTAGTATGAACACAGGCTCGGATTAAAGTGGCATCTGTAAATTGCATTTCCCATTATTCCACGAGGCAGGAGGGGCTTGAGGGTGATTTCATTATAGTTCCAAGTATTTCCGGGACACACACACTCACACGAACTGTTTCCCAGCTCCCTTTGGTGCTATTGTCCTTCCGGGCATTAATCGATAAATGGGGCGACATAATGCATGCACAAAACCCAAGGCTACTCCTAGCAGCCGGCTTCCTTGTTTGGGCCCGCCAAGATCCTGTAATATAGAAAGCAGGAGGACGCAAAAAAGCTGAATGGGGGTATAAGGCAAATTGTATTTTCTTTTCTAACGCTTGGCCTCCTGGTGTAACTCACAATGCTAGAAAAAAAACTAGATTGTATCCGAAGACTTTTGTTCTGAGAAAACCCCCGGGAACTTTGTTTCTCAAATCGTTTGCAGGGAGGTTTTCCTTCCCGATTTGTGGAAACTTGGTCTCCATGTTCCAGCAGCCCCTAGTTGATCCGGTTCTTTCTTAGGACCTGGGGAGGGGAAGGAGACGTTGAAACACTCTTCAGTCTCCGTAGGGAACTGCCGTCTTTCCCCTTTCGCTCACGCTTTCCCGAAGATACCCTTTGGACTCCACTTTCGGGCCAGCGTAGTCAGTCTTGGCCGACAGGGTCAGGATACAGAGTGCCCTATTCCCCAGCATGCTTCGGGCTCAGGTAGAGCCCTCCCCTCAGTCGATAGGAAAAGGCTGCCTTGAACTCCATTTCCCAGAAGACACAGGGGCTCGCGGTAGCAACTGCTCCGAAGCCTTGGTGTTGACTACATATCCCGGCAGGGACTGCGGCCTAGCTTATAAGGGAGGAGGAGCGCTGAATCTACTCCATTTCCTAGCCTGTCTCGGGAACTGCAGTATCCTCTTGGGGTTTAGGGATCACATGGGACTCCATTTCCCGGTGTGCTTTGGGAGTCTCTTTATACCTGCAATGCAGTGAGGGCGTGGCGAAGACTCCATTTCCCAGCTTGCCTGACTGTCCTATATGTGTGGGTCCTCCTGCGCGGACTCAATTTCCCAGAGTGCACCTGGCCCCGGTGGGCATATACAGCCAATAGAATCAGTGAATGATTAGACTGTTTCCCAGTGTGCGTCAGGTCATTGACGGAGTGGCTGTGAGTACATTTCTGAGACACACTGAATGGCTCACGGTTGCCTCAGTGGAGTGAGTGTGCGACTCTGACTCAATTTCCCCGAGTACTTTAGGGTCCGCCGTGGACGAAGTCAACTTATTGCCAACAACTCTATTTCCTGACGTGTATCGCAGCTCATCATCCTCGCAGTCTACTCTGAGGCCTTTGCGGACTCCATTTCCCGGCGTGCCCCACGGCTTTCTCCAGGCCGAGGGCGGTGACGGCGGCGCAGAGGGGAGGGGGACTGCATATCCCGGCGTGCCCCGCGGCGGGCGCTGGGCCGGAGCCGGAGCCCGAGCGGCTCGGAAGATGCCGAAAGACCTAAGACGCTATACAAGACCGGGCGGCCGGGGCCCCGTGACTTGTTTCTCCTTCTAGCCCAGGGAGCGGGGGTGTGCTCATGAGGCGGGCGCCCTGACTAACAGCTTGCAGAGGGGAAAACAGACTGTTCCATAACCTCCCCTGCCCCAAACCAATACATTGCGCAGTTGAGCGAGAAGGACTTGTCTCACGCAATGGGTGGGAGTCCTTGCGAGAATAAGCTACCTCGCAAGTCCCTCTCTAGAGCTTTCGAATTAGATGCATTGTCTCTAATTGCCTTCGTTAACAATCAAT